CATGCCAGGAGTCGCCGCCGTGCCTGCAGTTCTTTATGCTCTTTCTCCAGCGTGTACCCTGAACCACAGCAGCGTCTCCCTTGGGTTTCCCAGCGTCCCTGTTGCGGGCTGAGGTCATTTCCTTCTTTAGTGGACTGTGCCCAGCTTGTTTGTGGCACTTGATTCAGGGCTCACGGAGTGGGGACTGCGGGCGTGTTGACTACGACCAGGAACCAGCACGTTGGCTGGTGTGGAAAGCCCACAAGTGAAGGGGCCCTGGTGAGCCAGGCCCGCTTGGCGTGGGGCATGCGGCGGGCGGTGGCGCCCCGGGGTCTCCGCCCTGCTAACACCCGGCTTGCTAACCTGCTCTCTCGCTGCAGTGGGACGCGGAGGACGGCGGCCACCCCGCCTGCTGTGGCCGGGGCCCGGGAGAAGAGGTGCTGTACGATAACGCGGGCCTCTACGATAACTTGCCGTCTCCGAAAGTCTTTGCTCGCCCCTCTCCTGCGGACAGGAAGGCTTCGCGGCTGTCCTCTAACCACTACAAGTCCCCCGCCTCGGGCCTGCCCTGCACCCTGCCTGTCACTAACACCTCTTCTGTGGGGAGGGCATCTCTCGGGCCACAGCCCCAGGTACAGCATCGCTTCCGGGGAGCCGGCGTGGGCTGCCCACGGGGTGCAGAAACACACACACCCGGGCAGAGCGTGACTTCTTCCCCGGCCAGGGACAGCGCTGGCTGTGTCTTCCTGAATTTCTAACCTGAGAATTTCTTATGCTTTGCCTGGAGATCTGAGCGCCTCGCTTAAAAATCCTCTGCTGCCATAGAGCAGCAAGTGTGCTGTGCATCCCCCTCCCCTCCGCGGTGATGCTGAGACTCGGTGAGCGCCTGGGAGGCCCGAGTGTCTCATAGGGGTTGGAGCTTGCCTGGAGACCTAACTCCGGGAGCCCTAGGGGCCGGGCGTGGGCAGTGCTGGCCTCGACTGTCCTCTGCCCAGACCTGATCGCTGTGTCTCATTTTCTCAGCGAGCGCCACCCGTCCACACTCATCTGGTGCTGGAGCCACCAGCCCGCTCCGGCCCCAGTTGACTGGGAGTCCCTGGACGCATGACTCATACGTGGTTTTGTTCCTGCTTTCGTTACCTGCCTTTTCATTTCTAATAGGAGGCTCGTTTACAGGTTGGATTTTAGCTTCCTGTCCTCTGTGGCCACTTCATGGGGCCTGCTGTGTGACGGCGAGTCTGTGCCATCCATTGTGGTGGCCGTGGTGGCCGTCACCCTTTAGGAGCCCTGAGGGGAGAGACCGGGGGCTCAGTGTTGCCTTAGAGGAGCAGATAAGCTCAGTTTCCCCAGCTTGCTCAGTGGGCCCCAAAGGGACAGGATGACAGAAACGCCAAGCTGTCCCCTCCACAGCCCAGCAGAGTAACACAGCTTCGGGCAGGGCCTGGGTCGGGCGCCATCCGTACCAACCCCACTGAGTCTCCAGTGAGGGTCCTGGTGGAGCCACTGGCACCTGGTGCCACCTCTAAGGGCATCCTGCAGTCAAGGCAGCAGGAGTGCTGCTGGCCACTTGGGACCAGCACAGCACCGGGGTCTGGGGTCATATTGGTTTCCTCCTTTCCGTTTCCTGGTTGCCAAGGTCCTACTTAAGAGAGACTGAAAGAAATTATTGCAGGGGCAAAAAGGTGGGGTTTTTTTGCCTGTTTTGTTTCTAATTTTCTATATCTATTCCAACAGCTTAAGGGTAAGAAGCCCCCAGCAGCATCTAACGGGGTTCTGGGCAAAGGGAAGACTCTGAGCAGTCAGCAGAAAAAGGCGGATTCCACGGCCGGCGTGAAGCGGACAGCTTCCAGTGAGTTCCTGCCCAGTGCTGCCTCCTGCTTCCAAGTTGCGGCCAGCTGAGCTGCTCAGGAGCAAGTGTGGCGTGGAGGGCCGTGGGTAGTAGCGACCCCTCTCTGCTGAAAGGAAGGTGGCAAGGACTCCTAACCGCGCACCTGCCAGGGCAGCTGCGGCACCCCTGGGCGTTGGCCCTGTGACCTGAGGGGTGTCCCCGGCATGCTGGTGAGAAGTCGCAGGGCTCCCGGTGCACCTCTCCATGTGGGGTGTGCACACAGCTGGCTCTGCGGTGGCCGCAGTTGGCAGCAGGATCAGGGCTGTGGGAAAGCTGAGGACGCCCAGGAGCGTTAGTCCTGCAGGGGCCCACGGCGTCCACAGCCAGCCGCTGTGACCTGACCCGTGGGTTCCCACGGCCTCTGCCCAGGGTGGCGTTGGCTCCGCCCCTCTGCACAGTGAGGGACGCTCACTGCAGCGCGGTGTCGATCCTGCAGGGGTCACACAGGCAGATCGTAGAGCCAGGGCGGGACCGGCTTCCAGCCATGGGGCTGGCGGGAGCAGATGGGGCAGAGAGGCCTGGAGAATGGCGCCTGCTCTGCTTCACCTCCGAGTGGAGACGGTGGGGGGCGCTGTGCCCAGGGTGTCTGGACTGTGGCCTAGGGAGCAGTGGCAGGTCCTCCTGGGACTCCTCAGTGAACCTGGCTGCCGGGGCCCGCGCTGTGGAGGATGAGGTAGCCAGGTCTGCTACCATCTGGCGGAGTCCCATGCACGCCCGCAAGCTTGTCTGCACCCCTGTTGCGCTCGGATCTCCTCCAGCAGGCAGGGCGGACACAGCCCCGTCCTCACACAGGCCTGAGTGTACGGCCTCCTCGGCCCGGCCTCCCTGGCACACTCTCGCCGGGGTTTACGGTGCTGTGGGTTGGGGGCGCCCCTGGAGGAGGGCCATGTCGCCCCAAAAAGCTCTGAACCACATGGCGTCTCTTTCAGCTTCGCATCCTCCTAGTACTGAGGTGTATTTCAGCCCCCAGGCGGTTTTGTGTCTTTATTTTGTGACATCTTGTGTGGGGAATTATTATTAACGTTGGTGACATCTTACGGTGACAAAAAACGGAAGGTAACTGCACTGTGTGTTTTTGCGAGTAAATCCAGCCCCTCTCATCACAGGCTGTGTGGAGTTTGTTGCACAGGGCCGGAGGATGGGGCACTTAGAGCTTATCCTCTCGGAGTGTACTTGTGGACACGGTAGTGTAGACGCTTGCGGGTGGGGTTCAAACTGGGTCTGTCTCTGAACTGTGCCGTCGCCTTGGCAGCGAGTGGCGGTGGATGGATGTTTGTGACTGAACGGTGTCCCAGGCTGCCGGTCCTTCCGGTGTGGATCTGTGGGTTCTCTCTGGGGAGGGCACAGTGCTGGACAGTCGTGACCGTCCCCTGTGTTTCCTTGTACCGCAAGCCCAGTGCTCGCGCGGGTGCTTTTTGGGCCCTGCTGTCCCGGGGACAGGGCTCTGGGGCGGTCGCTGTGCAGCCCCTGCCAGGAGGGTGCTCACAAGGCAGGCCCATGCTCTCTGCTCTGGGGACTGGAAGCTGAGGCGGGGAGGTGGCACTGTGCAGCCTCGGGCAGGAAGGGCCCGAGCGGGTCGTACCCCTTGGGACAGGGTCCAGGGGACCCACCTCAGGCCGCAGAAGCCTCTGATGACACTGAGAAGGGGCGGAGCCGTGCCCGGTCTTTTTGTTTGAAGCTGTGTCTCTTCAGTGTGTTTTCCCAAGGAGGCTTTTCCTGGGCCACCAGTATGGGGGCTGGTGTAGGGAGAGGCAGCGTGGGGTCAGCACCTGCTGCTGGGGCTGAGCTGTTGCCAGCACTGAATTTTCCCCAACACTCATTTCCCCTCTGCTGTTTCTTCGCTGCATCTGATAAGCACTTGGTTAGGGCTCCGTAGGGGGTGCTGTGTGGGTACTAACAGGGCTCCCTCCACCCCTATGGGCTCCTGCCCTCACCACCCTGCTTCGCAGACGAGGACGCAGAGACAGCAAGGCCGTGCTCAGGGCCACACAGCTCCAGGTGCCATGCTGGGCCAGGTGCACCCCGCGCTGCCTCTTCACCTGCTCCTGGCCGCCGTGGGCTGTGTTGGGCCCTGCGTCCGGGTTACAGGGCTCCGCCCCTCACCGCAGCTGGGTGAAGAGCCCGCGAAGGGGGGGGGGTGGGAGGGCTCTGGGCCCCGTTTTGTGGTGCATCCCCGCATCTGAGAGCCTTGGTGCCTTGGGACGGCCCCTTTTCCCTCGGTCTGGCCAAGCCTTGCTCTGCCGAGTGGAGCAGCTGGTGCTATGGGTCCTGAGCACCTCCTGCCGCCTGTTCCTGACTCTGTGCGGCCCCCTTAGATGCTGACCAGTACAAGTATGGCAAGAACCGGGTGGAGGCGGACGCCAAGCGGCTGCAGACCAAAGAGGAGGAGCTGCTGCAGAGGAAGGAGGCGCTGCGGAACAGGCTGGCGCAGCTGCGGAAGGAGAGGAGAGACCTGCGAGCTGCCATCGAGGTGAACGCAGGTAGGCAGGGCTGTGCCGTGGCTCCCGGCTCTGCCCACGGCTGCAGAGTAGCGGGGGGGGGGG